AGCCACAAAGTAGACTAAAACCTGAACGATGATGTCTGGCTTCTAAACCGGTCAATACAGACGTAGCACAATTAAGAAAATTCATATAGATGGCTGGAGCTGAGGTGTCCCATCCTGTACTGGACTCCAACCCCCACTGTATTTCAAAAGAAAGTGTTGCTCCCTTTCCTCAGATATTTTGAAGTTTATGAAAAGTAATCAGGTAACAGGGCTTATTGCAGTAGCGGCAATTAGTTTCACCATGACAGCAAGCAAATGACAGGTCTACATATTCTTGTTTTTCTTTTTGGTGGTGCTGGGATTTGAACTCAGGGCCTCACACTTGCAGGCAGATACTCTACTTGAGCCACCATTTTGGGTTGGTTATTTTCGAGACAGTGTCTCCAACTATTTGCCTGGGGCTGACTTTGAACTGCAATCCTCCTGATCTTAGCTTCCTGAGTAGCTAGGATTACAGGCATGAGCTATTGGCGTCTGGCTCATCTTGTTTTTCTTGACTTTAAAGTTCATCAAGAAAAGCTGAAGCCTGGGTGCTGTAGTACCTGAACTTATCTTGGGGGGAAAAAGCACCACCAGCAACACCCTTAGTTATGGTTTAATAATATAGTTTAATATAGCTTAACCTTAGTTGTTAATTTAATTAACTCCTATTCACAGACTAGGCTTGTTATTCTCTCTTAAATGCAATCTATGTGTGACTCCTTCAGTGAATGAAAAGTATAGTTAAGTATTCCATCTCCTCCTTCAATATCTACTGCATGAGGCATCTGAAAGCAAACTGTCGCTATGTATCTGTCATTACGCCTGTATCCTATAAACAAGTGGGTTGGACAAGAAATGTTGAGAGTCCCTCCCAACTATAAAGTTTTAGTTCATAATTTAAATTGTTGTCATTTTGATTTCCGGTTATATGGAAACAATAAAAGTAGACATAGTCTCCATATTAGTGATAGCAGCATTTTTAATTTCCCTATTAAAACTCATGGTGTGATGTGGGGTCATATCAAATTGAATTGGCATTTCTTCATTTTCTGTCTACTACCAAAATATACTACTCATATTTCAGTTATCAGAGTGGTGGAAGAACAACAGATTGTTTTTGGTGCTTCCTGTATACATTGACTATCCCGGGAAAATACTACAAATAATAGCTGTCAGTCCTTAGCAACTCACAATGTGCGTTGTTTTAAAACAAACACAACTTCTAACGCATGGGTCCCACCTCACAAAATTTGCCCCTTAATTCTTTTGGCCCTTTCTATGTGTAGCTGTACTGTATTTCTGCTATTTTCATATTATATAAATTACACAGACTACTAAAACCCTCCGATAACCCTCCAACCTTCTGTTAGCCAATTCAACGTCTTCCACTGCTCAACTTTTGCCAGAGATGCTAACAAGTAACAGAGTCAGCTGGCTGGCATTCAGACACTTTTCCAGCATGCTTACTTTTAATGGTCCATACAAATAAGAGATTTATTTCTCCTGATTTTTTTTTAATATAGGGTCTCACTGTGCAGCTTAGGCTGGCCTGGACCTCATGATGCTCCTGCCTCAGCCTTCCAAAGGCTGTCTCTTGATTCTAAGTGTTTAGACAACTGCAGGCCCAAGTGGTAGAGTACCAGCCTTGTAAGCTGGAGACCCTGAGTTCAAATCCCAGTACCACTTAGTGTTTGGGAAGTTGACTAACTTATATGCTCTAAGTTAATACATTCTTTTCAATTGTGGCTTGAGTTCCTTTTAGCCCTGACTTAACTTATCCATTCTTTAACTACTTGTAAAATGCTGAGTTCCCCTGTTTTAAAATACTGTGCTATGTTTATCTGAATGTGGTTTTGATCATTTTTCTCTATTCTTTTTTCTTTTTGCAGTGCTGGAGTTTGAAGTCAGGTACCTTGAGCCACACTACCAGCCTTTTTTTGTGAAGGGTTTTTCGAGGTAGGGCCTCTCGAACTATTTGCCCAGGTTGGCTTCGAACCACGATCCTCCTGATCTCGGCCTCCTGAATAGCTAGGATTATAGATGGGAGCCCCTGGGGCCCAGCTATTTTTCTGTATTCTTTATTGCATTAGATTTCAATTCCTCAATAACTCAATTGATTCATTATGGAAAAAAAAGTGAAAACAGAGATTATTTCACCTCCCCCCCCCCAACACCAAACAGGAACAGCCAAGAGAAAATGTGAAAAGCTTGAACATTTAACCCAGTAACTACTATTATAGTAGTATTATACCCAAAGACCTTTAGGGCTAACAAAATCCAAACTTCTCATCTTATAGATAAGAAAACAAAACCCCAGCAAGAAGGCAAGTAATTTGCCTAAAATGATACATTTTAACTAGATACAGTTATGATCTCAACATAAAATTACACACCATCACCAGAGATGGTCTTTTCCCAGCTGAGGATAACCCCATAAAGTCTGTTCCCAAAATCTTTGCAGGTAGCCACAGTGGTAAAATCCCTTTAGACCAAAATATTTTCTCAAAAATTAATATAAGTGCAACTGTTATCAGGGAAATGGAAGCAAGTGATAATGGACAACACTCTAGAATATTAGGTTCTAAGGTGGAAGGTGAAAAAATTACACATAATCAAAATGACTCTTGAAATCATCCATACACCTAAGTCACCTAGGGTCCAATATGTATGACTGGGAACAGATCCGTGTGTTACTGAGCCCAACATGCCAGGTTTTCCTTCAGTGATGTAACAGAGACCAGTTTCTTCTGTTTATCATCAGATGAACTAGCTGGCTAGAATGAAAAGAGTAGGTGAGTCCTACAAAACCCAAATCTTTAAATTCTGGACTAGTGGTCTATAAGGGTAAGATGCTCACCTTTAAGAAGTTCTCAGAAAATGAAACAAAACTAGAGTCTGATCTCCCATGGTATCCTAACTAAGGGGCCAACTGTCACTGCACAGAACAGCTGACTTCAGGCTCTACTGAACCTCCATTTCTCTCTCCTTCTCTTCTTGACTTCGCCTAAGAGCACAGATGAATTTGAGTCACTTAATGTACATGAGCCAGCCTCACTGTATCACCAGTTCCCATGTTTGCACATGAATATAGTGGCGGCTAGACACAGGATGTGTAAGTATTACGGGGAAGGCAAAGTCTGGCCACAGGGCAGGGCAGGTACAGTGGAGTCTTCAAGCAGCCTAAGGACTCCTGGGTGTGTTTAAGGGAGAAGGGCTGAAGGAAAAAGGGCAAAGGTCACTTTTTGTGGGACAGAATTAGTTTCAAAAACCATCTTTACCATGTTCATATTTCTGCCTACAATTAGATTCCACAGACCCATTATGATGTATCCCATTTAATTGATTTTTAATAAATGTAGAGGCCTTATGCTCCCAAGTACACAAGTAACCACATAACTATAGAACATATATACTCAAAGAAATTAAGAAAATATTTTTTCGGATATGGACTCAATCCTAAATAAATGACCTCAGAGTGGAGATAGTTAAACCAGAAAAGGTTTGTGGAAGTGACTACTACCCATTGGTGTTCCAAGCAGCAAGAAAACCAGACCGCCACCACTCAAAGACCTGCCACAAAGAGCCATGTGGAAAAACTGGCCCAGGAACATGTCAATGTGAACAAGAGCACAGCTCTGGAATGACAGGTTTAGGTTATTCTCATGACAACATTTACCTGGCTCTAAGGAAATTACTATTTGTCTTTAATATAACATCCACTTCATTGTAACAAGTTCCTATAAGTATAAATTATCCTAATTCCAGGCAGAAAAAAAAAATCTGTTTCCTGAACAATGCTTAGTTTAGCACCACTGAAGAGGTCAGCCTGAAGGAAACCCACCTCTGGTATGGCAGTTGATATGGGTTCACATTCATGCTCAGGTATTCCAGGATTGTCCCCTCCCTACCACCACCACCAGGTCCTCTCTCAATACTCCAGGCATTTTCACAACTTGACCACACAAAAGAACACTCCGGTCTCTCCAGCCTTTCCCAAGGCAACTACAGTAAAGCCTTCCCAGCGCTCTTTCCTAAGACTGTATATAGACAAACACAGGTGTGACACAACAATCTTTTTGAACTTTGCATTGAATACACTGAAGAACACCAATGATCTTAACACTCCACCCATTGTCTCAACCAGAAAAGCTACCCCAGAGCTCACAGGAGAGGAAAACAAACAAACAAACATATATGTATTTATTAAACATCTCAGGAGCAAAACAAAATACTTGTATTGGGGAGAAGATAAATATTTTTTAAACCACAAGGCCCACTAAGTAAAAATGCTTAATCCACCATAATTAGGTTTGCTTCATTAGTTGACAATGTAAATGGACTGAAGCTATTATTGAAATATTCAAACCTTTATTTTACAAACAAATGCCTTCCAGCAAATGATAAAGCAATATTCTCACTGAGTGTGGAAGATGGCACTGAATTCTAACCCATTGTAAAGAAGGAATCACATTCACTAGTGACTGCTTGGTTTAACTGCCAGGCTTTGAGGGAGCGGTTTCATAAAAGGGGAACTCGCCCTAATCAATAGTGGAGTGTCAATGTCGAAAGAACCCTCACTCAATGAAGCCGTAGACCACTTGGTGTTCAGTCTTACAAAATGACTCCATAGAAAAATTGTGTTGCGATAATTATTTCATATAAAAAGAATGATGATGATAGTGGTGGTGATGATAACTAAGCAGGAACCACCGGCGCTCCTGGCCTTCCCGTGTAAAATTGCCAGCTGAAGGTGGTTAAGTTCAAGCCAGTTCTCTCCCCGTTGGAGACGCGGGCTAGCAGCCAGGGGAAGCCACCCGGTATCCAGCTCCCTGTGGGCTTGATGGGACTAGCACTGGAACTAGGAGTGGTTTGTGAGAAGCCCTATGGGGGCTCAGCGAGGGCTCGATCTGTACCTCAGCACCGTCCTCCAACGCAGACCCCAAGTTACACGCGCAACTCCACGAGCACAATGACAAGAAGGCACACAAAAGGAGCAAGGCAGCCGCTCCCATCCTTACCTTTGACTTGACTTTCATACTCGGCTATGATCTCTTTGTCCTTTTTGAATCTGCTCGGGGTGGACATTATCCAGCTGTTCCGGGTTTGCTTTCAATGGACAAGTTCTGTTCAGTGGTCAGAAATCGTTCTCCTTGGAGAGGCACAGAGTTGTACTCCCACACGCCGAGAACCCAGAGGCAGCCCCGGCAGGAGAGGAGGAGGGAGAGAAGGAGGAGCAGGAGGCAAAAGGAGCGAACCGAGAACTAGATTAACCCGGGCGCTGGCACCATGCTCTCGGGATCGAGCCGCCGTCGGTGATCCCGAGGGGAGCCCGAGGCCGGTGAGGCCAGACGCACAAACTCCCGCGAGCGAGTGGCGGGGGGCGTCTCCCTGCCCACCCCACCCCGAGCCCGGCCACTTCCTCTACGACCGCTGGGCGGACGCGGGGCTCGCGCCGGCGCTCCGCACCATTGTTCAGAGACCTGCACCGGGCCAGCTGCGGAGGACGCGGCCGGGAAACGCGCCCAGCTCGGGCGCCTCGACCCTCCCTTCCGGCTCCCCACCCGGGCTGGGGATGCTGCTGCCGCGGCTGCCGCTCCAACGCCTGCAAACACTACTGCGACCGCTCAAGCAAGCAAAAGGGATCGCAATCCTAAAGCGAGTCTCTTCTGCTGGACGCTGAGGGTGGCCGCCGCGACGCTCCCACGCGCCCTGGGCGCAGTCCCCGACAGAGTTTAGGTCTCGAGAGCCGGCGCCGCGAGGGTCCTGGATGGTCTTGGCCACCGAGCGCCAGAGCTACCGCTTTCTCCTTGTTCCCCTTTCCAATGCTGCCCCCAGGAGGCCGCAGGTGACACGCACATTCCACGAGCACCAGCAAGAGCCGCGCCCCCCGCAGTCGCAAAGTTGTCCGCGCGCTCTCGCCTGGCCCGCGGCTCGCCGGCGCCTAGCGCTGTGCGGGAGGTGGTGGCTCTGGCTGTTGCTCCAAGATCAGCGAGGCGGGGCCCGGCTCGCAGGAGGGGACAGCACTCTCAGTCGTGCCCTTCTCCGCTCTCGCCTCCGGCCCTGCGCGGTGAGGAAACGCCAGGCTTGTACGGGAAGATGGATGCCTCTTGTGGCCAACCGCAGGCGGGCCCTGCGCGCCGAGCCCTGGCAGCTGTGGGCGGTGCCCCCTGTGCGGCCCTCCTCGGGGGCTCAGCGCCGCGCTCTGGCCGAAATGGAGGTTCCAGCAGCTGGAAAACCCCTTCCTTACCAGGGGGGCCGAAGGTGGGGGCTCCAGTGCGGGGCAAGGGGGTTGTCTTTTAAGAATCTAGAGTTGCATGTCGCCAACTCTGGGAAAGGGATGTGACTCTTAAGATGCTGGACCCCAGTAGGAAATTTGAACACTGAATTGTGACCGACCTGGCTGGGAGGGCGAAGCTCCTCGGTCAGGTGGAGAAAAACATCCTTCTTGAACACTATTCTTCCCCATCCCAGAAGTAGTACAAAGTGCTAGGAAAGTGGTAAAGGCATGGCTGAGGAACAAGTCCCACTTAAGGTATTGCTAGCTTTTTTTACACACACATTTATTTGATACCTTTCCTGGTCCTTTCAAGTCACTTCTCAAATGTAATGGTCCTGATTTATCAAAGTGACGTGTCCAAAAGCGTGTCTGGTTCCACCTTTGGAGATCTAAAGAGACACGTTTAGACTTTGATCATTCATTCACGGATTTGGTGATGAACTTTCGAGTTCCTGTTGTCAGTCAAAAAACAAGCTAAGAGTTAAGGAGTCAGAGATTAGGAAGCTGCCATAAAGGATCTCACAACCCATGTTGTATAATAGATTATTACAGGTAGTGCAATAACGTAAGAGAGAATTACTTTCTTAAAGTTCAGGATTTTGGGAGTCCCCAGAGAAGGAAGCACAGAAGGTGTTAGAGGTTTGAGAAGTAAGAGTTCACAAAGAAGTGGTTCTTGAACAAAATTTTGTGCGTGTATTTGTGTGGGTTGGGTGGTTGGGGGATCCAACCAATGGCCTCATGCATGTTTGCAAGGCAAACAATCTACCTACCACAACCCAACGTCCTAAAATTAGAAGATGCTATTTCCAGGGGAAAGCATTTTACTGTGAGTAACATGTGAGCAAATAGAGTTATAAGATAGCCACCGAAGTTGGGTGTGGTTCACATGCCTGTAATCCCAGCTCTTGGGAGCCAGAGGCAGGAGGATTTCAAGTTTGAGGCCAGCCTGGACTACACTGTGAAATCCTCCTTAATTTACCCTCACCAAAAAACAAAACAAAACAAAAAACCCAAAACAAATAGCTATCCACACAAATTCCAGTTATGATGGAAGATGAAAAATAAAGTGCTGATGGATAGTTTGTGGTGGTATTGGGACTCGAACTGGGGTCTCACGCTTGCAGGCAAGAGCCACCCTGCCAGCAGTTTTTTAAAGTTAATTTTTAGGAAGTCTTTTTACTTTATAACAACAGAATAGAATGAAAAGGGAACACTCCAAGCCATTATTTAAAGGTTTTGTTTTCAATTTTACTACAGGAGGTTAGACTGAGGGCCTCTGAGCTGTCCTAATTGCATATGGAGCTGTCTTACGTAAGAGCCAGGCGGTCCAAAGCAAAGACTGCAAAGGAAGGTCAGCGCCAGCTGGGAGAGGCCTTCTGTTCCACACTGAGCTCTTGGACACAGTTCTGCAGACAGCAGGGAGCCTTTTTAAGTAGAGAAGTGTCATGGTCTGATTTGTGTTGTATAAAGATAACTGTTGGCAGTGTGGAAGGATGGGTTAGTCGTGGGGAGAGGAGACCAGAGGCAGCAGCCCATGTAGGTGATAGTCGTCGTCAAATCTAGACAGGATTCATTTCATATTTGTACCCAGGAAGTACAGTGTGACAACAGAGATTACAGTCCCTGCAAATGAATTGTTGGCTGAATCTAGACCCTACAGATGTGGTGTCAACAAGCCCCAGAGAGAGAGGGCCCAGAAGTGAATTCTAGCTGCACTGCTTCCTGAGTGATGTGGTAAAAATTACTTCACCTCCTTGGGCCTCAATTTCCTCATCTGTAAAATGGGTTAGTTCCTAGATCCTGGGGATGTGGTAACTTACTAGATTATCTTTTAAAAATGCTTACAGTGAGGGTTTGTGGTCCAGGCCTTTAGTTAGTCCCAGGTCCTCCGAGGCTGAGACAGGATAATGGCTCCAGCCCAGGAGTTTGAGGTCAGTCTGGGCAATGTATCAAGAGCCCCGTCTCAAACAAACAAAAGTGCTTACAAGCTATTGCACACATCAAGTGAATGTTGTTATCATTATTATTACAATCTGTTTTAATCTTCAATAGAAAAAATATTTAAAAATCAGAAGCAATGTCTTAATTATCTTTGATTTCATCATGGTGTCCAGTAAACAGTGGTGAATGTTAATGAGTCACCACTTTATTCTTGTTGAAAAGTCCCATTAAGGTGAGCATTTTACTGCATTCTCACACTGGCCATACAGTGAACACCACTGTCCTCATTTTACAGGTGAGAACTGGAAGACTTAGAAAGTTCAGGAAATGGCTAAAGACCAGCATGCCAGTGCACCTCTGTGTGCATCCAAACTGGGTGCCCGTTCCAATTTGCTGCTCTGTGTCCTATGCACCTATCATTCCTTTAAACTAGTGAAGCAGTTTCACAGACAGTAAAATGAATATGATGGATCATGGTTTTCTGTTGGCCGATCTCTTTTCTGATCCAGCCATTCAATGTAATTAATAAGTCTATTGTTCTTGTCAAAGTTTCCTTTTTCAGATTCTCCTTATCTTTCCCGTATTTATGAATCCATCTTACAAATTTGGGCATGGTGAATGTCTGTGAGTTGAAAGCCAGGGTAACCCAAGTTTGAGAGACTGGTCTGGGATTTCCCAACTCACACCAATTCTCTGTGACTTTGCTCCACCTTGTGGCAGCTATTTTCCTAGCCATGCAACAGGGAGAAGTGCCCTTTGCCCCTGAAGCCTACTTCTCCCCTGCCATGTTTTCACTTTTGGGGGGGTCTGTTGTGAGAAATTTGGCTGATAGTGGAAGTCCCGTCCTTTCAGGGCCATCTCAAATTTCCATAAGTAAATTCATAGCAACTAATTTGCCATTTGACTATATAATCTGGGAGTAAACTGGAGTATGCACTGAGGTCCTTGCAGCCACAAAATAAATCACTTATTACAGCATCACCTTGTTCCAGTGGTTAAACAATTGAAATTTTTTTTGTGTGAGTGGTATGGGGGCTTGAACTCAGGGCGTTCACCTTGAGCCACTCTCCCAGCCCTTTTTTGTGATGGGTTTTTTTTGAGATAGGGTCTCGTGAACTATTTGCCCAGACTGGCTTCAAACCGCCTGGCTTGAAATCATTTTTTAAAATTAAACACAAACACATTAAAGAGCCAATGCCACATTCACATAGGTGTTTTTAAGCTATAATTTTGCTTAAAAAATTTTTAGGCTGGGCGCCAGTGGCTCATGCCTATAATCCTGCTACTCAGGAGGCAGAGATTCAGGAGAATCATGGTTCAAAGTCAACCTGAGCAAATAGTTCATGAGACCCTATCCCAAAAATACCCAGTACCAATCAGGGCTGGTGGAATGGCTCAGGTGGTGGAGTGTTTGCCTTAGGAAGCCTGAAGCTCTGAGTTCAAACCCTAGTACTGCCAAAATATAAAAAAAATTCATATGTGAGGTGGGCCATTGTGCTACTCCCCTTAACTGAAACAGTACATTCTCTGCCTCTGGGAATTTTTTAAAAGTAGATGACAACATCCTAGGTTTTAGTCTTGGGTCTAGCCAGCTCCTCAGAACACAGACCACTTTGCACACATGTCTCCTACAGTCTTGACTCTGCCACCCCCTGTCTTCTCAAATTATTTGCAATAAGGTTTTCAGCAGATTGCATTTTGGTATCATGTCCTAGAAAAATGTTTTATAAAGTGTGATCTTACATTGATCACCTACATCAGAATCACTTTGGGAGCCTGTTTAAAATGCAGACACGACATGGGGACCTACTTTACACTTAAAGTGACACTTCTCAACTTTAATGTGCATACAGATCACCTGGGGAAT